AACAGGCTCGACTGGATATGGAAGTTCAACAGGCGGACACGCGACAGGCTCAGGTTCGACTGGATATGGAGGTTCATCAGGCGGACACACGACGGGATCGAGCCCTTTTGGACATGCAAGTTCCTCAGGCGGGCGCACAACAGGATCGAATCCAGCTGGAACTTCGTCGGGTCAGTATATACGATTATAATATGATGATAATGAAAGAGAGAATATTATTCGTTGTGATCAGCAGCTAGAGCGGAGTATATGTTACTTTTGTCATAGGTCAAACTTCGCATCAGCAAAATAAAGATGCATCCACGACTTTTTTACACGCTGAAGGAGGAGGCGCTACGCGACCCTGTAAGTGCAGTAAACAGCACACAGCAATTGCGCGAAATAATTATTTCTTATTAATATGAACACTTTTTGTTTGTACAAAGCTCAAACCAACTCCGCACAATCCAGCCGGCCATCAGCACCACACGGCAATACAGGTATTATTAGTATTGATCTGTGATCTAGTATTTTAATCTTTACAATTAGAATACGTTACAAGAAATAATTATTTTCAAATTACAGTAACATTTTTATTTCTATTTTTATTTGTTTGTTTTTCCTATTGTACAACAAAATTATATACTTTTTGTTGTTTGCTATTTTTCTATTAGGAACTCATCCTGGAAGCCATGGGACAGGTATAACAACAGACAGTAGACAAAATTCACCGTACAATCCGTCAGCACCGTACAATCCGTCAGCACCGTACAATCCATCAGCACCATACAATCCATATAGTTCATCGAGTAATCTGCCGAAAGCCACTGTGGTACCTTCGCAAAGTCATGGTATATACTTTTCAACATTTCCAGCAAGATATAATGTATCCTTTTAACTTTCAAGTTTAAGAAACAATAATCGTCAAAATAATGCTTGATTATGGCAGAAAATTAATGTAAATTAAGAGAATAAATGTTCCGTAGCAAATACAAATTTAAATGTAATTAAAAATTGCATACAATTTTTTTGCAGCACCAACTTCCTTCGGACAACCAAGCGTGCCTCACAATCCGTCACAAGGAACTGCACCTAGCAATCCTCCATGGAGCAATCCGCATTTCAACCCGAGCCAATCTCACCCACCAGGTCCTCCTACTTCTACTAATATCGGCTTCAAAGATCATCTGCGTCCCACAAATTCGATGCCCGTTCCTTCCGCGCCTTATCCGCGCCCTCCTTATCCTTCTGGTTCCAATTCACATCCTCCTCCTTATCCTTCTGGTTCTAATTCACATCCTCCTCCTTATCCTTATCCTTCTGGTTCTAATTCACACCCTCCGCCTTATCCCTACGGCCATTCGAATCAACCTCATTCCACGTACAATCCCAGTCACACGTTCGGACAACCTTCCAGTTATCCGGCGCATATCCCGCCACCCGTACCAGGTACATTCGGGAATCCTTATTCTACGCATCCTGTCGGCGGAACCTACGGCACAGCCGGACACAGCTATTATCCGCAACAGCACGTCCTGGCGCAGCCGGCAGCACAACCGTACATACCTGGACAAACGGTCATAATGGTTCCCGGTCAACAAAGCAGCGGCAGAGGCCTGGGCCAAATGGTGAAGGAGGCGCTCGTGTTCTCCACAATTAACGCCGGGGTGAACAGGCTGATAAACCCGCATCATCATTACGCGAGTGATTACAGCAATCCAGCGAGAAGCGGTACCAGTACCAGCGAAACGCATGTCACTTACAACAATAATTATTTTAACACTCCCCCGGACAATGTTTCTCCGGCGTCGTCGAATGTACCCCAGGGAAATGTTCCTGGTGCATATCCCGCCAATCCAAGCCCGGTGAACAATCCGGTGATTACTCCGGGTGTGTCAATCCCTACAATTGTCAACAATGGTAGCACATCAAATCCAGTTGCTGGTTCTTCTGTAATCCCAATGGGTGCGGCCAGTAATCAGGAGTTCCCTCCAGTTGTGACTCCTAATGGCACTGCGGGAAATCAAGGAACGTCCAATCAAGAGGCAACCTTTTATTCTCCGCAGTATAAAATATCGGACGATGATCTGATGATGTTGACCGAAGAGTTATTCGTGAAACAAGAAGTCAATATGTCCAAGTACTTGACGTTACATCTTCAGAGTACATCTAGGAACATAACCGATGCAGCTAACGGGCCGTAAGTTTCGAATATTTAAATCAATCTAAACGCTTAGTCGATGTATCGCGTTTACACATTTGTTTTATTTACGTTTCTAGATTGATTTACGCGCAAGAAGAGGTGTACGATTACCCAACGATCTTAGCTATTCGAGCGCTCTACGACAATTATGAACACAATTCCACCGTGAAGGAGACACGTACGCAGGAAAAGCGACGGAAAGAGGAACTTCTGTTAGATTTATTCCTGAACACGAACGTGATGGCTAGAGCTATGCGATGGTTGACGGAACGAAGTTTCATCGATCCCGATGATTTCGAGAGGAAGGACGTTTTACGGCATATGTGGTTTAACACATTCGACGGCGCCACCTCCGGATTCGAGCGAGTGTTCACATCCGAAAGATATGGCACGGAGCTCCTCGGCGTGCAGGACTGGATCTACTTTAATTATCAAGAATCGAACAGACGCATTAATTACATGGGGTACATTGATACCATGAAACTTGGCGATGTGAGTCGAATTATATAATGTAGATGCAATTTTACGAGTATGTACCGTTAGTTTCAGATGAGATATACCTGAATTTCACATACATACGATATATTATGCATTTGTAAAGTTGGTTACCTCACTTGTTTTTCGCAGAGAGCCTCTTTGGTGAAATTGAACTTCCAAATGGACGATATTATTAGACCAAACGCAACGATCTTCGTGGGCACACTTCCCGAGCTTGAGATGGCCCTGTACACGATATGCTTTTACGCCAGGCCAAATGACCTATGTCCCGTTTCTCTCGGCGGAAGCAAGTTTAATATTTTCACGCATTCGTTTAGATATTACGGGAAGGATCTCATAGATCTTGCGCTTCCTATTTTCTAATTCTGTATCATATAAATAAATTCTCGGACGTGATAATAAAAGTTACTGTATACGTAATGTAATTTTAATAGAAGGGAAGATTGTTTCAATTTTACATTAATTACAATAAATAAATCTTGACAAAATAAGAAAAAGAAATCTAGTTCTAAGGTTTTATTAAGGAGAGATCGTTGAAATTGACTAGAGAATTCATAGACGTAAATTCGTAGAGAAAGCGCGAGAAATCTGGAGAACATTACATAGCACTTTCGCAAATATTGTTTAACTAGTACTTTAGATTTTATGAGCGTTTCAACAATTGTCTAAGAGATTGCGTTAATAAAAATGGAAACATTGTTAAATTACTATTTCGAATTAAAACCGGTTAATCGAATAACTCGGCCAATTGCAGCTTTGTAGGCGCTGAGGATCAGCGGAAAGAGAAAGCCTACAGAGCATGAATCATTCAATGTTACGGGCGATGGTCACCGACGCGACGTCTAGGCCGTTCGGCATAAGGTCGAACGATAGTAGTAGCACGTCGACTGCGTGAGCAAACAGTGCGTGTCAGAGATTTCTTCCAGTTTTTAACCGATCGCGACGACAATTCGGCAGCGGCGCAGCGGGCAACAACGAATATGAGAATCAGGACGTGTCTGATCACTGTGATTGTGGTTTTATTTGTTTTCGGTAATCGCACATGATTCCTAAGTATATTATTGTAAACTATAATTAATAAGGCGTCGCCAATGAATGGGAGTTGTGTACGTGAGAACTATCAGATTTACACAACGTGTTCTTAAAGTTGCACAAAATTCATTAATAATTGAAGAATCGATTTTTATTGAAATAATATTGTTTGAAATTTTACAGAATATTCGATGTGAATTATCTTGTACTTTAATTTCTGTTTAAACGGAATATTCAATGTGAATTATCGAAGGTTCTATAAAATTTCAACAATATTATTTTAATAAAAATCGTTCAGGATGCTCCCGAAATCTGTGCGAAATGCTTCAACAAAGTGATAACACTTTAATTAATTAATAATCGATTTTCAGTATTAACAAGAATTTTGTTCCAGTTTTACAGAAAGTTCCATGTTAATTGGTAACTTCAAATAAAAATTCTATTGAGCAAACTTTCCTTGGAATCAACTTTGTGTTACGTATTACGGAAGCACAGTTCGCGGAAACTCATTCGCTTCTAAGTATCTATAATTCACGAATTACTGACTTAATTTTATAGTTTAAGAACTGCTGGCAATTGAGAGAACATTGTTTCCAGATGAGTTAGAAAATCTTGCTGTGCGCAACACAGTTGTGAATTTAAAAAAAAACCGGTTGTTGCGTCATTAAAAAAATTGAAAAGAGCGATACAAGGACATACATGTTTAATTCATTCATAAGCGCGTTTGTGTGATATTTATTTGAACAAATCTATGGCACCTGCGTATGCGCGTGTACGGAGAAGTGAACTGAACATATGTCGGACCTTTACAACGCATAAAATTGACAATTTTTTATCTGTTGTATCATGTTGTACTTAAAGGACTCGAAGCATCCCTTAAAATATGCCCGAAAATGAAAATGAATGAATCAACTGTTTAATTAGACTGTGAGAACATGGAGGAAACATTCTCGTCATGTCACGTAAGATTTACGTAGAACGTTGATAGATCACCTAATAAATATAGACTGCGTAATAAGTGAAATCAGCAGAGCAAATTGCTCTTCCATGTTACTCATACGTCACGCCGTCAATGTACGCTCCTCGAATGGCATTATTCACTTGACGACGTTTACCATAATTGTATTACTGCGGCCATGATACCAAACTGGAGATTCTCATCGAAAGTCACGCGAATCGAAGCGAACACTGTTTCGCAACGTGTACGTCAAAGTTGACATTGCGGTAGTAATTGAAAAAGAAGAAAAGTGAACTTTTGTAGATCTTTCAGAAAGATTGCAAGGTTCATTAAGAATAAACATATACAATTATGGAGCTTTATCGAAAATCTTATAACTATAATTAATGAAAATTGCGTTTCTCTTTCATTGCGGAGAGAATTAAATATATACGTGTGTATACGAGAGTGGGCCTGATTTTCTGAATACACCTCTCGGACAATGGGCGACACTCATATTCAGTGCATGCTATTGAGCCAACGAATGGACAGCCAATTGCAGCTATATTATATAATAATCTGTTGAAGAACAATAGGCTTGACAATCTGCACCGGTGTCGAATCGCGCGAAATAAAAGTGGACACCAGGTCCCACAGATGGCTTGATAGTCACTCAATCAACGTATTTTATAACTCCGGACGATCCATCTAACATCTATTATTCGCCCTAACACGATCCTACCCTTGATAAAAATTTAGAATACTCGTAATTTTACGGTAGACAAAAAAATTTCTAATATTCTCAATTTTTATCTTGTGTCTGCGACGCTAGAACTTGGTCCAAGTTGGACACAGGCTTCTAGAAATACTCAGATATGTACATTTTTTTCCCCGGGTATATACTTCGTCCCCAGTTGCTCTAACTTTTTCCTCAACGTTCGTAAAAGCTTCCTCTTGTAAGGTGGCGCAAAAGCAATGCCAATTTTATCTGCAGTATTTAAGAACGAAAATAAACTGGCGCTCCTAATTGCGCGGTAATAACGCTGCGCAGTAATGATTGGTCATTACTATTGTGAGCAATATTAACTGATACTTGTATGCAAATTAGCAATTCCAAAAGACGTCTATTACAGCTAAATGTTGGAAAGCCATTGCGCACGATAAATTGTATTTGCAATATTGTGTTTACAGCAGGCACAGACGGCCGGAAAACCAGCGGACGAAGGAGCAGCAGTAGCGGAGGATGGGGCTCCTCCTCTCGGCGGGGAGGCGGTACGAAAACAACTGCGCGGCCCTCACAAACGAGTATGTAACGTTACGTGTATCGACTGATCTCTTCCCCAATTAAGTAGAACAAACGTTAGTCACAAAAACGTCAATGTAACATTAAAATGATGAATTTTACGTCATAAAACGATCGACATCAAGATTTACTTTGCAATGACTGATTTATGACATGCTGATATTCGCGAGGTGTAGATCATTTTTACAACATTTTGATGTCTTAATGATGTCACAAACAGGTACTCTCGGTGGGCCATTTTGACGTCACCATAAAAAATGATCAAAAGAGTGACATGACATTACACCTGTCGGTTCTTTCAGTAAATTGCATCACGTTGAACAATGTATACGTATTGGCAGTGAAAAAGAGGCAATTTCGTTACGTCGTAAAAAATTTCGTTACATCGAATTAAGCCTCTTTCCATAATCGTCTTACGTGGAATTGCGCAGCGGTGTGCAAATATTTATGTATCTGCGCGTTAGATCTCTTACAAATTCGATGAGTCATCGCCTCGTACAGACAATAGCCTTCTGCGGCTTCGCATGTTCCGCTCGTCTCTAATAACATCGCGAATCCCGTTACGTTCGCAGACTCGAGCCCGGGTAAAATAGGATGGAACGTACCACCGAGCACCAACAATAAAGCACCCAGCACCGGGACCAGCAATGCCAAGCCGTCGGCTCCGGTATCCGAGCACGCTTCCAAGACTAGCGCGTCCAATGTCCAATCGGGATATCCATCAGGGAATCCGCCGCCGTACAGTCCATCGGGTATATCAATCGCTCTTCCGCATTTCAAAGCAGGACACGAAACCAGCGAGTTTAAATCTCGATGCTAATCTATGATCCTTTGCACCTGTAACGTTTGCCAACAAAATCGCTAAAGTTATATCCAGTTGCGAAATATCTTTGTAAAGCTAAAGTTGCAACATTTGTCTCTTTGTGAAATCTTAATCTAGCGTTCGGTCTCGCTCTCTCTCTTTGTATCTCCTTTAAAATCTCAACGTAAAATCTAAACTCTCGCCTCAACATCTCAACCTCTTTTTGCAACTTCATGAAGATTGTAATTTAAATCCAAGACTAGCGCGACGAATGTCCAATCGGGATATCTGTCAGCGAATCCGCCACCGTACAGTCCATCGGGTACATCAATCACTCTTCCGCATTTCAAAGCAGGAAATGAAACAGCGAGTTTAAATATCGATGCTATTCAAGAGCGAGATCTCTATGATCCTTTGCATCTGTAACATTTTCCAACAAAATCGCTAAAATTATATCCAGTTGCGAAATATCCTTTTAAAGCTAAAGTTGCAGCGTTCGTCTCTTTGTAAAATCTTAATCTAGCATCTGATCTCGCTCTCTTTGCGTCTCCTTTAAAGTCTCAATGTAAAATCTAAAATCTCATCTCCTCGTGCAACTTCATGAAGATTTTTTTTCACGGAGTCTACAGTCCTAATCCTTTTCTGACGATCCCCAGGCGGATATCCTCGGCAGCCCGCCAGCAACCCCTACGGCGGCCCGGGCTACAATCAGGGCGGCACGGGCTACAATCAGGGCGGCACAGGCTACAATCAGGGCTACCCGTCCTACAACAATCCTTCGTACCCCGGCGGCCACTCGCCGTACGGTCAGGCTTACAATCCGTCTATGCAACATAACGCGCCGCCGGCCTACAGTCCGTACCCCGGCGGACACTCCTACGGTGGTCACGGCGGGCAGTCATACGGCCAGCCGTCCTACGCCCAACCGTCCTACGTTCAACCGGCTATCGCACAAGCGCCGGCGCTCACCGTCCTGCAACCAAGCCGGCCTGGTATCGGCCAGCTGGCCAAGGAAGCGCTGGTCTATTCCAGCGTGAGCGCGGGCGTCAGCGCGGCCGTCAACAGATTGCTACCAGGTGGTATCTACGGCAGAAGTCCGGGATACAGCAACGGCGCCGGTGCCGCCGGCGGTGCCGCACCGAGCCACACCGAGGTCACGTATAATAATTATTATTACAATCAGTCGAACCCGGCTAACGGGGAAGCGCCCGCTAACTCGGCGGCTGCGACTATAAATAACGGGGGTGCGCCCGCTAACTCGAACGCGCCCAGCTCCGTGACGCCGCTCCAGCCGCCACCGGAAGCGGATAAGAAAGCCGAAGCGACCAGCAATGCCAATTCGCCCAGCCCCCAGACAGATAGTAACCCGAGCCAACCGAACTATCCGATTTCCAACGACGAGGTGAAGAAGCTGGCGGAAAGTCTCTTCGAGGTGGATAAGAACAACGCGTACAAGTACATCACCGTGAACCTGCAGGGCGAGACGAAGGAGGACAGCACCGCGGATGACGCTCCTCTGCCGTGAGTAGAACCGGCCGGCTCGAACGACCCGCGTTGCCCTCACCTTGAGAGAAGTAATTGGATGATTCCGCGCGTTAAGAGTTTCATTGACCTCGTTTTAATGTGATTTCAGTTTACTGGACGTCAAACCGGAGGCGTACGAGATCCCGACGATTAAAAGCGTGCTGGCGCTGCAAGATAATTATGAGATGGACGTAAAAAAGAAGGAGACCGTCACGCCCGAGGAGCGAAAGGAGGAAGCGGAGCTGCTCGACAGGTTCCTGGAGACCGACGTGTTTAAAACGATGATGAAGTACCTGGCTGACAAGGAGTTCGTTCTGAACGACGAGTACGAGTTTAAGGACACCCTGAAACGGATCTGGTTCTCGCAGTTCCAGCGAGTGGAGGGAGAGCCGTCCAGTTCCGGCTTCGAGGCGGTGTTCGTCGCGGAGAAGCTCGACTCCTACATGATCGGGCCGCAGAATTGGATTTACTACGCCAAGCAGGAAGAGCAGAAGAATCTCGACTATCGCGGATACATAAAGGATATCAAATTAGCGGACGTAAGCAACGCCACGCTCGCGTATTTAACAATTTCGTCCTACGTGTATTTATTGTATTTCTTTGGCCTTGCAGAAGGGAGAAGCTATCAAGATACGTACAGCGTTCAATGTACCTGACACGAAGCATTCGATCACGACCCTTCTCGTCGGGCTCTCACCCGAGTTGGAGATGGCTCTTTACACAATGTGTTTCTACCTGCGCCCGAACGACGTTTGTCCCATTTCATTGGGCGGAAAGGACGTCAACCTGGTTTCTACCAGATTCAACTACTTCGGCAAAGATATTTTGATCGCCGGCTTTATCGCGGGATGAATTGCGGATTAGAGCCAGAGCCCTTTTGAGATTCTCTATAAGTTGTGCGATGAAAAATTTAAATACACACTTAAGGAGAACGTTCGGACAAATGTTATGTCAAAATAACTCATAAAACAAAATTTTTATGTTTACATACTGCTTTTAGTTTAATATATATTTATCCAGCATGATATTTTAAGGTGAATTTCGTGTTTCTGTCCATCTACACACATATCGAACATGTACAAATTTGTGTCAGGAAAAAGAAACCATGCACGATCTCTCTCTTTCTCATGGATCACATAAATTTGTTCTTTATTGTAATAAAATCGGAAGGGACGCAGCTACGATACAAACCTCAAGTATCCTGGCGCTCCTTTTTTCTCCCGAAAATTCCATCACAGGTACTACGGTCAGTCGTCCGTGTGCGCGTCGATTGTGAAATTTCGTGTGCTACAATAATTTTACAAGACTCGTAAACTGCTCCAGAGTTAGCTTACCGCTAATTTAATGGTATTTGAAACTTATGCTCTTGTTAAAAATCGCAGGTCATATCCAAGTCTTCCATATGTGCTAAAAGAGAAGGCGTTACTCGATCCCAGAAACTGCTGCTAACTGAGGAGAGTATATAGTATATATATTTTTTATTAAACAATATTTAATATGAACACTTTTTGTTTGTATTCGAAGCTCAAACCAATTTCGCATAATTTGATGCTATCAGTATTATGTGGCAATATTAAGTATCATTAGCATTGATTATCTTATTCAGAATTACGAGAAAAACAAAGAATTACTTTCCAATTGTTAGATAAAATTACGGTTCAGACGTTTCAATATTAATATTTCTCTTATTTTCCGTCTAATTTCACTTTTATCTGCATTTTGTCTTTTATACATATGCAAAATAATAATATATTCACTTGCACCATTTTTCTATTAGGAGCTTATCCCAATCGAAAATCCTTGAGAGTCCAGTTAGATTTTCCAGATTTTGCATTAGAGAGTAAAAATCCTTTTTATTTCTTTTCTATAATTAAAATTTTAAATTGACTAAAAATTTCACAGAAATAAATCCATAACAAAAATGCGAGGAATATACAATAGAGAATTTTTACGAAGGTTCTTTAATACTTTAAATTGTATAAAGTTTTAACAGCGTTGTTCAAAAGATCATTAAAAAGTTGTGTTAAACAGACTAATACATGGTTTCGAATTTAATCTAATGGGTCGACCCATTCCAGTCTCACTCAGATGATCAACAGGAAGAGAAAGCCTAGAATGAAACTTCGAGCAACAACAATTTAAATCGCGATTACAAATGTAACGGAACAAACATCAAATGGACCCTTAAGATTCATCTATTAAATTGCTTCACTTTTCAAGACCAGTTTCAATTGATATCGTCAGCAGAAAAGCGCGGACTATAAATACGAGGGATGAGATTACATAGGTATATATGTCTAGATTGTTCAACGTAAGGAAACAATAGCGAGTGGGCCTTGCTCGAACGAACAGTGCGTGTCAGATATTTCTTCGAGTTTTTAACTGACTGATACAGTTTGATCGAAACGTAGCGTGCAACAAGTATGAGGGCGTACCTGATTGTCACCGTGATTGTTATTTTATTCGTTTTTGGTAATCGCACATGTTATTCCTAAGCAGATATTACGTCAGAGAATTTTGCTGTGTGTAACTCGGTTGTTAAAAATTTGGGAAAGCCAATTATCACGTTAGTAAAAAAGTTATTAAGGATACTTAGTTCTTTAAATATCTATTTCATTCATGTGTTGTTTATAAAAAAAAATTATAACGCGTGAGAAAGTGATTAACGTATCGAACGTATGTTGGATTTTAATGACTTATAAAATTTTTAAGTTTTAACTGGTTTATATTATATATAAATTTTTGTGAAGTGTGCTTTAAAATATGGAAAATAAAACAATAAAATTAATGCATCCAGCTTTTCAATGAGACGTTAAGAAAATCAAGGAAGCATTTTGAAGTCTGATGAAATATACTTAGAACGATACTAAATTGACTAACGGATACAAACTAAACTGAAGAAATTCCTTTTCCACGCGCCAATGCACGTTCGTCATATTATTCACTTGTCGACGTTTACCATAATTTTATTATTGCGACCGTGACTGAACTGAAGATTCTTATCAGTGGTGACATACAAATACTAGTTAATTAAGATGCGTACTTCAAATTTAACATTGCGCAAATATTAACGTAAAAAATGAGCCTATCTCACAATAGGAAACTTACCTCTAATTATTTATAAAACTGAACGTGACCCGGTAAAAGTGATAATTGGAGCAACGAGATTTATACATATTAGCTCAAAATTATACTCATACATTTGTCCGATCTATTTGGTAACATAAAAAACAAATCGAAACTGTTAATTATATGTGTAATAATTGATCATAGCTGTGTTAACTGAGACGTATGTAAATTTGCAAGTTCTAAAAGACACTTGGCCAAAATGTGGAAAGTTGCATATGAGAAATTGCTTATATAATATTGTACGTTTATCAGCCACAGAAGGTCAATGTGTCAAATGTATGATCTTGGGGAGGATTGGTAACGGACGAAGGATGTCCGGCGGGAGGAGCGGCACCTCTTGGCAGAGAAGTATGTAATATTAGCACATTATAATTATATTTCTGTTATTATCTCTACGTTTTGCTATTATTAGTGCATTATATTTTTATAATTGTTGGAGGAAAGTATTATTAATTTAGCAGAAACTATTACGAAACAGGCTCCTAATATAAGATAGCGAAGTGTCTGCTAAATTAATAGGCATTAATAGGCATTGTCTGTCGGTTCCATGAATTCATTGTCCTTGGAGTGAAATCTGTTTAGTGGAAAATTGATTATTAGATCGTGTAATCGTTGCGAAAAAAGATTTGTGACTGCATTTGGACGTTGAAAACCTACTATCTCATATTAAAATTCTATCTCACAATAGAGCACTCCTCTTATTCTTTTTTAAGATAAAATTTAACGCATTTGTTTTTCTGAATATATGTATTACATAAAGAAGAAGTAAAATACAAACGGGAAAACCAGTTAGTCTAGTTAAGCTCCTGTAATTCATAAATAATTATTCTATACGGAATCTTGCCACGGTTTGAAATTATTTATATAAGTGTCTGCCCATCAGATCTCTTATAAAAGCGATGAGTCACTGCTTTATATAGACAATAGCCTTCTGCGACACACACGAAACATACGTTCACTTGTCTCTAATAACATCACAAATCTCCATTACGTTTGCAGGCTCAAGCTCAAGCTCACGTTATAAAACAGGGTGGAATCTGCCGTTGTACGGCTATGCATACTATGCAGGGTCAATGTATAGGAATGGTAATCCGACGTCTCAATCCGAATTCAGTTATGGAAACAGCAGGACGAATACGGAATCAAGATATTCGACGTATAATTCATCGTATAATGCATCGTATAATCAATCAGGTATATTAATTATTCTTCTGTATTTCAATGAAAAAAGATGATGTAATATCGGTAAGTTTTGATTTCTATGCTACAGGCATATGAGAGTGAAATCTATACAACTCTTTATATTTGCAACATGGGCGATTAAATTGATTGAAATATAATTTAATTCTAAAGTATTTTTTTTAAATTAAAGAGACTCGCACTATTTATGTTTCCTTGTGAAATTTTAATTTAATCTTCGTGTTTTCTTTAAAATCTCTCTACGTAATTTTGCGAACGTTGCAATTTTCATAGTGTTTGTAATTCTAATTTTTCTAACGACGGTTTCCAGAAGGATATCCTGAGCAATCTAAAAAAGAACCTACGTACTCCAATTACGATGAAATTAGTTGGACATAATTTCTTTCGATTTTTCTTCTTATAATGCGACAAATTTTGTTACAATAACAGCATATATATATTGCAATTTATCTGAACAACTTTTGCGATTTTGTAGCAAATAGTATATAATAGTTTTCTTGTAAAATAAAAATACAATAATTCTTATAATTAAATAAACCTTACTTCTGCCCGTGATATACGGTATATTTAAGAACAATAAACGTAGTTTTCCATCGTGGAGTACGATTGCGCCTTTTATTCCAATGAGGCAGTTCGCTTCAAGGATGAGAAGTTCAATTTTTTCTAAAATTTGTATAATTATTAGTCAGCGAAATATTTAATAATTCTCACGATACACTTTTCTGATCCTATAAAATTTAATAGATCGTAATAAAATCTGAAGGGACACAACAACGATGCGTACCTCGGGTATTCTGGCGCTCCTCTTTCCTAATTCCGAAAATTCCATCAGAGGTATCACGGTCGGTCGTCCATGTGCGCAACGATTGGGGAATCTCGTATGTTTCAATAATTTTACTAGACTCGAACACTGCTCCAAAGTTAGCTTATCACCGAACTTAATGGCACCTGAAAAAGTCCCAAAGTTAGTAAGAGAAAAGATAGGTTTGCAAAGTAGTTTGTAAAGTAGGTAAGTCTGCAACGTTTCGAAATAGAGCACCACGCAGATTTATATATTTATGCCTTAAAAACAAAGTTTTATACTTTGTATCAATATATTATAATATATAAACGTTTGATGTAATTATTATTGTATTATGCATACATGTATATATAATCATACACAAAAATTATACATATTTTATGAAGCGATTTGGCGAATACCATGGCAAGCCTCCGATGCTATAGCATTATGAATGGTTAACGGTAATGCGTTTGCTTGACTTGTTATACTGCGATTCTTTAGTACTTCGTTTAACAAACTGTAGATTCTTGGCAATATCTTTTCGGTTTTGCATGGATCGCTAGTCGTAACTAAACATTGCGGTATCGTGCGTATCAAAATTGTGTTTTCCTTCGACGATCCCAAACTTATGCCGTATTTTCTCAACCACATTTGATTGCGCAAGAGTAAATTGTACGTTTCTGTAGGAAATTCCATGGATAGAGGATCACGCAAATTAACAGAGAGCAACTCGCTCTCGTTCTGCACGTTGTATCCTAAATAATATTAATAACTGAGCACTTGGAAGAAAACTTACAATTAATACGTAGAGGAAAGTCCCCTATTATGAGATAGGATTCTAATATGGAATAGCGGGGTTTCTGTTAAACCAATAGGCATCATCAGTTGATTTCATCTTGAATTTATTGCTCCTGGAGCGAAATTTGTTCAGCGGAAAATTCATTGTTAGATTGAGTAATCGTTGCGAAAAAAGATGTGTGATTGAATTTGGATGTTGAAAACCTGCTATCTCATGTTAGAAATCTATTTCACAATAGAGGATTTTCCTCTATCAATTATATTTTCATATTCATCTTTAATTAAAAAATTAACTCAACTAAATATTTGTATAATTTTGGAATAACTATTCGGCTATTCAGCTACAAAGAAACATTATTTCTTATTGCTTAGGAAAGTATTTTAATTGTTTACTAAGAAGTAATTGCTCGTAACGTATTCTTTCATGGATGGCATGTTGATCGATCATTAATAGAATCTTCATATCATCGTACGCCATCCACGCGGCGATAAATTCATCATTAACTTGATTAATGACCTATAAGAAAAATACATTCATCAAGATAGCTCGTAATCTCGGCTGATTGATCGTTTTCAAGATTTACGCACTTACTTTTATGCACTTTAATGACTCTCTTGACAATCTAAACTCGGATAATTTTCGCTTTAACTTGCAAGGGTGTACCGCTATTTGTTCACGGTGCCGATTTTCTGTAACTAGATTCGTCATTTACTTAACTGAATTTGCATAAAGAAAAACTTATAAATATTTACTTATGTAATTATTTGGGTAATACCTAATAAATTTATTATATATGCAGCTAATTTCTTACTCCGTCTGAAAGTTACTTACACGGAATCGTATCGTTGGGACTGCTAAAGCATTTTACATTTGTTAATTTGTCATGACGACGTAGAAGACCGTACAATTTTCGTGGCAGGAAATCGAACTGATTGTTAGATTCGAAACACTGTCGGAAACGCATGTTATTTTCGGCAAATATATCATTCCTTTTGCTCACGGGATCGCGTTTTTTGTTATTCGTGTAATAAGTCCAGTTCGACCATTCGGAAAGAGGAGAAATCACGTTTACGACATTGTTGTCACTGTCATCGTGAAAATTGTAAGCCTTACCAGATTTATCTACTGTGCAAAGATTCGTGGAGCTCTCCTGCATTTTCTCAACGCTATTGTGCATCTTATTTACAATTTTATCTTTACATAAATTCGTACGTTTTGTAGAAGCAACGTGGCAGTAAATGCTCTTTAATATATTTTTTCTCTTATTTATGTAATACTTGATCTTTTCAATATTATGCTGTTTGTTGCGATAATTGGTTATAATTGTTGACGTAATTTTCCTTCGCTTGCAGCCAATCGTAACGACTTTGTTTTTTATCACCGAAGATTTAACAGTTTTACGCCCATCGATGTCGTTGAGGAAAACAGATTTTTCCGACTTTAAGTATAATCGTTTTAAGTAAAATCGTTTTAAGTGCAATCGCTTTAACAGCTGCGTTTTACATAAGTCAGGAGTAACGGCAGAAACTGTAGCTTCCTGCGCGAGACATTTGAAGACGCAGTTCTTAATGGTATTCAATATCTTTCGCATATCATGAAACACGATGCATCTTTCCCCGTTTTCGGTAATCGACGTGAATTGTTTCTGTGGAAGCGTAAGAAAGAACAGGATAAACATATTATCGTCGTATGAATCGTGCGCATTGGACTCCTGGTCGGAGAACAAGTTGAGCCTTTCTTTGAAGGCGATTTTAATCGACTTCAGAATAAGAGGGCAACAGATCGGCCTGTGATTAAAAAATATCCCCTGCACCGCGTTCTTTTCGGACAATCCCACGTAACCGTGATAATTCCCACTGAATTCGGGACTGCATTTTATCGACCATACGCGATTCAACGGCATATCTTTCCCGAACAATGTTCTCAGGACATCGACCGGGCTGTGCGGTTTCGCAATTCTCAGGACAACCTTCTTCCGGTCTTCGTCTCTAATCGAGAACGACACCTGATTGCGATCAATATAGAGAAAACATTATGAGACAAATTACCCCGATTGATAATCGCTACGATAAATTAAATCGTACTTTTAACTTTGCAACAGCTATAGCTGCAGTAAGACAACAAATGGTAGATGTATCCCACTTTTTGAGCGGTGGTACTTCGTGGAAGCCGTAGATGGACACCGTCGTGCCGCGCGAGGGTCTCTGCTCTATTTGCTGTAAACTGGACGCAAGTCCCGCGTCAAACTCCTTTAACAAAATAATGCGAATGTCAAACGCTTTAAACGTTTATTTAAGGTAAACTTAAAACTTACTTTAAGAACAACTAAATTTTTAACTCGGTCCTTTTGAGATATAAATCAATTACAAACGTAAACGCCATTTAGGATCTGGCACAGCTGGAGGCAGCCAATTAATTTACTACGTGAATCCATGTACCGTATTTTTTTTTACTTTAAGAATTTGAAAGAAAGCTTTAAGAGAATTGTGAAAAGTATGCGATATAATTTATAATATCGCGTGCGGTTTTCTTCTCGCGCGTTCCTCTCTAGCGGGAACTTCGACAGGCTTGGCTATCTAAAAGTTACTTTAGGTGTCGAAAATTACTCTAAAATATCTTAAGTAAACTTTTAACTGCTTCAAGTAAAGTCTTAGATTTGCGATTTCATTTAAAGTAAATTTTCCCAAGAGTTATATATCGCCAAATAATTTTAACGAGTCAGATAATTTGATGACGAGTCATACCTTCATAAACGTCTCCCTGGAGCATTGATACCTGGAAGCGATCGTAAGACGATCGGACAGACGACGGATGTCCGCCAGACAGTTCGATTCGGACGGTTCGTGTATTCGTTGCTGATCATCCGTGGCTTCTGAATCGTATTCCGCGATACGTTGCAGCATATCTTTCGGTATCCCGACGCCATTGTCGACAACCTGAATTTCCCGTTTTCCCGCATGAAGTCTCACCGCGATTGCCGCGGCGTGCGCGTTCAACGAATTCGCTATCTGCAATGCGTTTTATGTGTAGTTACGCCATGATCCCCTCATTTGATTGGAGTAAAGTGTAAAATAAAATATACGGTAGGCTGATGAATAAAATGTCTTTCTTGTACTTAAGGGGTCTTCCTAGTGCGACAGGGCCTAAAGTAGGGTGATTTTTGTGAATTTTTATAAAGAAAACGACCAAACCAAATTGGTTTACAACTTTTCCTGTATGTTGTACTATGTTTCAAGTGTGCTTAAAATATTTATATTTAAATTACGAAGTCGTGGATGCGAAGTATACGTACCAGCTCCAGGACGCATCGTTCGAAAGACACGATATGCGAAATCGTTCGCGCGGTAGATCGTTCTTCATGATCCTGCATTGTTCTTCGAATTCTGTAACAAGAAACTAAAGCAGAAAGAGTGAACAAAGCGATAACGCGCCGTCTCGGTGGAGATTTTCCATAATGGCGCCGAGAATCACGTCACATTTGCACTTTGTACACACCCTCCCCCTATCTCCTTAAGACAATGCCCTAGTAGCACAGTGCACTGACCAAACATTGGTTAAACATTCGCCCAATAGTTGGTTGTATTGGGCCAATGTCTTGCCAATGCACTGTGCTACTAGAGTGAAAGCGTAAAGCGACCTGGTGAGAAATGATTTGTCGAACCGACGTCGATCGACGAATCATTTCTCGTTGGGGAAGGAAAACGCAAATAATATGTGCAATAGATAAACATTTGTGTAATAAACAAAAATTCTTTAAGAAGTTTATACTCACAATAACAAAATGCAAACTATAATAACATACTGAACTAAAAATAAATGTGTACAAAATGCAGAGTTGGAAAGTTACTTTAGAAAAATATCTGGTTACAGTTAGAGTTTTTTCGCTAATAATGTAACTAGTTACAGTTACTCAAAAAGTAACGAATCCTTACTTTGCAGTTACTTTCTTACATCGGCGTTACATTACCCTTTATTCCATTTCAATATTACAATTGAAGCTGATCTCGCGATTCCAGTCCATCGTAAAGAACCATATGAGGAGAGGGAGAAGGGAAAGGGTATAAGCGACAGCCAATCGCGGATGTATTTATAAAAATCTCTTTATTCTTTTTTTTTCTTATTGCATCTACTAAAAAGTTCCTGCATTCGTATCTCTTTCAAAATGCTATGTATAATCCTGGAAAAGAAGTATGGCTCTCTCATTCTCTCTTTTTTTTCCTCTTTAATAACAAGTGCCAAGACCGCGATAACTTAATATTAACATTCGAGTAGCTTTACACGGTTTCTCCGCCCCGCGCGTTCGGGGGTGCTCTCTAAGAGTATTTAATATAATTTATTTAACATTCGGGCGAGACGACACAACTAGGAGAAACTTTAATCGTAATGATTATTCGCGCTAGAAGGGTGTCCCCCGGTAGCTTCAACGGGAGACCTCGACAAAGTCACTACCGATTTCGTATCTTTCCTTATAACAATCCGCATTAACTAATAAACTCGCGAACGATCTTTGAAATTAGTATACTGTTAATTATGCCTAAACAGAAGACACTACGGTGCGTTTTTCTTATTATCTTGTAGGTTAAATTATTTTGGTACACGGAAACTTAACAAACACAGCGGATATAAAAATAGTTGTACATGTATCTATGTATACATACATATAATAGCAAATACAGGTGAGACCCGTTTCACGACGGAATTGGGTGCCAGCAAAATACGGTTGTCAAATAAAACCAATTTATAATGTACAATTGAATGAATTAGGTACCAATTGCTGACATTTTTCCATGTCTGTACCAATACAGTTGCTTTTTAAGTAATAAATTATTTTAAACATTTTTTAACATAAGTTTGATTTATATTTAACGCGATTACTTAGATAATTTTGGAAAAGTCGCTAATATAAACAGTCGTAGGACCGGACAGCGGTTCCTACTTCAAATTGTATGTACATTTCCCAATTTTATATATGTGTATATATGTATATATATGTATACATATTAGGTATAAGACACATGGCAAATATGAAATGTATTGCTCGTATTTCAATTCGTCAATTTTTTGTGCTATTAATGTCTGCGCGTCATTTATAAATATAACATTTCCATTGATAAAAACCGTTAATCATTTACGCAAATTAGGTAAAATAGTTACATATATATATAATTTTAGCAATATATATATCATTATACATATACATCGCTGTGAATTTGATAATGATGAAATTGCATTACCCAGTGTTCCATGAATAAAGAAAGAAATCAATTTAAGTCAAATAAATTACCACATTGTTGGACGTATCTTAAAATAAGAACTATACATATACTTTAGTCATGTCAACCGTAATTTATTGTACAGAATTCGCTACAATACATCCTTTTAGTAATATGTAGGAAAATTTTAAAAGAAAATATAAATAGATTTAATTTTCTGTATATATTAATTTCACTGGCCCACAAAATCGAACTCATTTTATCCCTCGGAAACGAAATCAGTCTATCTCTATTAATTTGGGGTCAATGAACTGGAATATCTTTTATTAAGTTCTAATGATACAGTTGGAGTCTCCAAAAACCGCTTTCTTTGTCGACCGTTACTTTACAATGAAACATGATAAATAGTTGAAAAACGTCTCAAAAGGATGCTAGGTATTTTCTACTTGATCAAAAAAAAATACCAACTATTATGTGCAAATAGTTTGCAAACATGTGCATTTAATATTGTGCATATAATATGAGATAATTTAACTTTTGACAGACAAGTTAACACAAAACCTCTGCAAATATAATACAAATTATTTACAAGAATATAAAATTTTTTTGATAAAGTACAGTAATTGTAAAGTTAGTAAACTAAAAAAGCGGTTTTTTGGGGGGATTTCAATCCTTTATATCGAATCAGCTTCGAACTAATAAGTAATTTTCACTAACATATCGGATTCAGCGACCCGAAATTAGTAATAATTGACTGATTTTATTTTCGAGGCATTTTTGTTGTAGGCCAGTGTTATTATGGAACACTGGTTGCACGTACCACTTTCCTTTTCCTCATCAGATAAATTACTTGCGTTGTGTTCAAATATGTGAATGTACAATCTCTTAATAAGAATAACTTAGTGAAAAAAAGTTTATCAATAAACACTATTTTTATGAAAAATTATATTAATTAACAGCATACTCTTTTCATCAGCGACACTTTTTTCAATTGCGCTTTTTTCCTTGGATTACATCAATAACAGAGAGTTCTTATTACGATTGGACATATTAAATATATTTAATATATCGCGAGCACATACTAGATATATTCAATAATAAAGAAATAATATAAAATATGTGTTTCTTTTTTAGAGAAGCGAGCTTGGAAGAAGAGAGTATATAGTTTAAATTTAATTTCTAAATTAAAATCTATACATATAGAAAAAAAGCATGAACGTATCGAATTGAGAAGCTCGCTATATAGCATATTGTGTAATGAGTTTTACTGTAAAATTATTGTAATAACAATCACATATCAAGTCATCTATCAACGAGATATAACACGCATATTAAAATGATGAGACATAAATAATTTAGCGGCATCACCAAGTATCTTGACGCTAGTATTTATAGCGTTGAAAAATCATGTAACATTAAAAATATATTTATATATATATATGTATAAATTGACGAGTTATTCCTATAAATATCTTCTAAAATCTGCTGTGATAAATCAATCACTTAGAAACAAATTCGCGATTTATTCAACTTTAGGCACCAATGGTATGCAGACCCTGTCTTTGGTACATACGACCGATTCGATTTTTGTTTATATCTGAATAAAGAAGACGGACTATCACAGTCTTCTGCATCTGAATATAGTTATTTCATAGCGATTTCATCGTATGGGTACTTTGTCCTTCCATTTTTCTCCATTCTTGCATGCTCGGTGCAAGGAATTTGTATTATTACATTTCACCTGTGTGATACAGTCCTAAAGCACATGTTCAATAACAAAAAAACTCAGTCTTCTTCCTTCTTCTCGGGCTTCAAGTCTACCATTGCGTGTATCTCATCAGGACTGTACCTGCAAAGGTGGAAGAACGATAATTAATATTATTATCTTCTACAATATTTGCATTAAATATTATTTCAAATTTGCAACGATATAAAATGTGAGGTTTATTTAAAACCTTTTAACGACTGCAATTTTATATACACTCACACTTACCCTAGTAGAGTTTGTAAGTCGCATACAAAGCGATATACATATCGCTTGCCAGCAGTTTTGTGTATGATGTTCTTGTCATAATAGTAGCGTAAGCCTCGGCTCAGCTTTTCGTAATTCATTTTGGGTTTATTCTTGCGAATACCCCAACGGCGTGCAACCTCGTCCGGATCGGTCAGTTTGAATTCCCAGCCGTCGCCGGTCCACGAGATAAAACCCTGACACGCTTTGTCAGTTAATAGCTCCAGCAGAAATTGCCACAGTTGAATGGGACCTGATCCGGTGAAGCACGGTGGACCGCCACCTGAAAAAAATATTTAATTAAGACTTAAAATATACATTAAACAGTAAAATAGCAAAATATTTACTGTAGCTTTAAAAGATGTTATTTCATTTTTAATTGTTTCTCCGTGTGCTTATCAATAATTCACAAAATAAATATTTATTTCGCTGATAAAAACATGCAAACTCTCCCTTTCGTCGTTAACAAACAAATCGGATAAAAAGACTTTACGAGGAAGAATATATTGGCGACTTATAATATCAAATCGTGGATTTACCTGGATAACCGGTGAGCATTGAGCTCTGCAGCAATGGCTTTTGGTCCGCATTATTGGCGATAGATGTGGGATGATGAGGATTCGAGGAGTCTCGTGGTCCGAGACCCGCAAGAAACGCGGGATGATGAGGCAGATGATCCCCAAGCCCGACACCCCATTGGTCACTGCCGACGCCGCCGCCTCCAGCACCGCTCCCGCTTCCGGGAACCGTTTGGACGTTGAACGACGTTGCATCGTACTGCCCGTATCCGCCGCTCTCGCTGTAACCCTCGTGATAGCGTCCTGTGAAGAAAAAATGAAATGTCACATTGATATTAACTGGGCTCCAACGTGCTATATTGTATCTATTAAAATAGATCATTATAATACAGTATTAAATTAATATAATAATAATGTAGCCACAGACTTCTATGTACTACTAGGCTGTTACCAGCTGAAAAGTGAGACAAGAGCTCCGCCATTGTCTTGTTAGGTAAATGAGGTGAATGTGTACATCGGATACACTGTAGCCACGCCGATGCACATACTTTGTTTACCTAACAAGATGTGGCAGAACTCTTGCCTCACTTTTCAGCTGAAAGCAATCTAGTAACAGAAGTCTACGAATATAGTATTAAAATAGATACATTTTAATTTTAATATAACAGACAAATGTGTATTTTAATATTGGATTTGTATAATGTTAAAAGTATAGATAGATACATGAATGGATATGTATAGGCTGTAGCTATTAGAAAATTTTCGTTCTATGTAATTTCCCAATTGCCGGCTACAAACCTCGTGGATAGTTCTTGAAGGGTGACGGCTGATACTTGGGCTCGATGTGGATCCCGCTGGCGCCGTAGAAGTCCGACGAGCTGTCCAAGTTGTACGGATGCGGCGCCTGGTGGTCTTGCGACAAGCCGTGGTACTCGGACGCCTCGTCGTATCCCGAATAATGCGCCGGCGTCATGTAACTCTCCGTGGCGGTCGCGTTGACTCTCAAGTCGCTCTCGTTGTTCGCTGCACCCGGGAGTTCACCCCCGCTGCCCAGGCCACCCCCACCGCCCTGAAGATGCTCAGCTATGTGATGATTGCTGTAGTTCGCTGTAATTTTTTTTAATATTTTTGTAAATTAAACTTCTGCGATCGTCCACTTTTGCTCGATAAAAATAGGGTAAAATAACGATTGAGACTGCACGATATCCAATAAGAATTAACAGCAAATATTACAACTTTGTACGTATCGATGTAAGACTGAACGAAGATAATAGACGTAAAAAATATCAATAAACAAAAAAACAACCTCGCGATTATGTTACCTACTTATTAAATGAGAAAGAGACTTGTAAACGTGTTTCGCGAATAAAAATTACTAGATACATTCTACAGAAATTTAGAAAAGCTAGGGCACAATACTGGATCGTGAGATACTTACATTCCGTTTTGAGCTGATTTATATTCCGTAGATGAATGTACGCGTTGTTGGCATTATTATTGTTGTTATTGTTGTTATTACTGTTAGGGGTACTAGAGTGAGAGGTCGGTGGTTGGGTGCTATGGCTGTGGGGTGGTGGCGACGTTTCGTCTCTTTGACTCTCGTCTTGGCACACGGGACTGCGGAGGTGATTGTAGCCGCCTGCAAATTGAAAGGAACAACTCGGGTTGCATTACAATGTCTTGATACCGGAAGGCTAAAGGCTAAACATGTAAAATTCGGTTCGTTTACTTCTATTAGAACGAGAACAAGACAATGAACGTATCGATATATGTGCCGCCTGCTGTGTAAAAAATATATAAGAAGCTAGACAATTAGCTACTTTGTCCGTCTATCACGATCCTGGGTAGTGATTATGTAACTTTCCACGTGAAAACTTTCACGTGAGCTCAAGGATTTCAACCGATGAAATTATTATATTCGCGTGAAACCTGTCATTCTTCATGTTTCCACTCTGGGGGGAAAGTTACACGATCGCTACCCTGAAGAGTTACAAATTAACGTCGTCAACATTGTAACGCGTACGGTTACAATTGCATCCCCGTCGGTCCTTAGACTGAGATTTCAAAAAGCTCTGCTTAAAGATTTAATTTAAATAAGCTCATATTCGTTTGCTCTTCAGACATTTGTAGGCACTCTTGTAAGTTTGTTACCTGAAGAGGACCAGTATTACTGGCCGAAACGTCGTATTTTATTATAATAAAGAATTGCCAGTACGGGGTCGTTTTCACACTTATTTAAATTCTTAATTTCTTGACTGGCGTCACCAAACTGCTATCAATTGTTAAAGATTTAATGTTTTCTATTATCGCGTTTCTCTCTCTCGAAGCGAATGATATCTTATCAGTTGATTTTGGACTGTATTTCATTTTCCCGGCGTCCCTCTTCGAAGTCTCTCGTTTAATTGTAACAAGCCCCTTTATATTTCTCTCTCCTTTCGTTACTCCTGTCGAAATCGTCACAGAGGCGTCGCGGCGCCCGCGGATCAGGAGAGACGACGCCGCGTATCTCTCGTCGCGGCACTCCGGCACTCCGCAGGGAGGACCGCCGCTGACACGTGGGCGGCGCGTATCTCGACGATTGGTCCGAACCAACTCCGCCTATTCTCGACTTCCGCTCTACGATCGTGTGTGTGTGAGAGAGAGAGAGAGAGCCCGGGTATTCGCGGGAGGCTGAAGCCGAAGGCTCCGCGCGCTCGAGCGGCGTTCGAATCGCCGTCGCCCGGGATCGCGCTTGTCGAATTAGCGAGTCGTGGCTCGCGTCACCCTCGAGATGAGAAGACCCCCGCGAGGCACAGCGCGACGCTTGAGCTTCAAGTTCTACGACATTTAGATCCTTCCTTTAACGCAAATCGCTGGAAACATACGTAGTCGAACAGTTCTCAAGTTGGCCAGGAGGCTTTGGTTTCTTTTTCCCTCGCGAACGTCCGAGAAAATTATTTTTTATTGAAACATGGGGGATTTGATTCAGTTTAATCTGGCGCAAGCTAAATAAAAATGATACTTTTTCAAAGGATCAAAGACTAAAGAGCCGTGACGGGATGTTGGTGTCTAAATAGTTCTTGTTTGAAATTTGTTGCGAGAAAATTACCTCAGCCAGGGACTTTGAACCTGGACCACCCTCTCACTTTTTTCATCCCCACTCACAGACCACCCACTTACAGGCGGGCGTCTCACCAATTCGATCACCGGGGCATGTAGTAATATTCATCGCAATGAACAGTCTGACGTTGATTCCCGAATGACACATGTCGTGACGGTATTCGAAACGAGAATTGCGCGCCGACTTAAATCGTCAGTCTTAAACCACAGTACAATCAAGTATCCTCATTATTGCCCTCCTCCCACCCGCCCAAATAACTAACGAAATTAAGAAGCGCGTATTACGTCCGCGTAATTTAACAAATTAATAAAATTCATGAGGCTCTCATGTGATAAACGCAAAGTCGAAGGAATAAAGACTAAATATTTTTTCACATATAATATAAAACAGGCATATATTATTACTTTGTTTGCACATCGCTGCAGTTGCGACTGTAAAAGAACCAAGTGTACGCACCACACTGGATGGTTTGGTTGCTCGTTTTTAGTTTTTCGTACAAGCTATAAATTAATATCGTTTCCAGACGAAATGTTCCTCGTTATTGCATTGTTTATACCGCGATCGTAAATAACGAATTACGTAAAGTAGATTTGCAACATAGAGGCTGGCATACGTGCAAGAACAAACGTTACATTATATGTTACGTCTCACACGATAAATATAAAACTTCCACGCGTCAAGACAAAGCGATGTGGTCCCAGCTCAAGCTCGGTGATTTGAACATGTCGCCTTTAATTAAAATATTCTATATTTTGTAAAGCGCATATTGTTTCTTATAGAAGAGTAATCTGGGATTTTTACACATGTTCGTACACGAATGAAGGTAAACGATATAGTTTTCAGGTCTTGCAGTTGACACAACTTAGAATCGCTTTTGATTAAAATATTCTATATTTTGTAAAGCGTATATTGTTTTTCTAAACATAAGAGTAATCTGGGTCTTTACGCCTATTCATACATGAATAGCTCATACATGAATGCAGATAAGCGATGTAGTCAGGTCTTGCGGTTCACGTGACTTGGAACACAGCGCTTTCGATTAAAATATTCTGTATTTTGTAAAGCGCATGTTGTTTTTTTTTTAAATACAAGAGTAATCTGGGGTTTTTACGCTTATTCATAAATAAATGGAGATAAGCGATATAGTTTCAGGTCTTGTAGTTCACGTAATTTTAAACGTATCGCTTTCGATTTAAATAATCTGAGAAAATCCTGTCTCTCGTGCTTCGTAATGCGCGCATTTTTGTTTCTTGGATATATAAGATCAACGGTGGGGCTTTCACACAAGGAAGGATAGCGGAAGTTGGTGAAGTCGCATATCTTATCTCGAGAGACATGTTCGGTTACTTGAACTTAGCTACCTGGCGGTTTAAGTTGATTATTTTAACGTCGTCCTAAATAAAAGTCGATTGAAAAATAACGAGAAGAACAGAGGTGTAAAGCCACAAAGTAACGGCGATTAAATACGACCGCCATTTTGGCGAACGATCCGGTCCTTACGGTGAACATTCGCTGTTACAAACTCTTTATCAAGAATGCAAAAGAAATTGGAACGAGCGGAAGCGCGGATCGGCGAAAGTAATACCGAATTCAGTTGCCTGCACTGGTGCGCACTGAGGCTTGCTTAGTCAATTCTACTTAAAGATCGTCTTAAATATCCGTTGAAATATTTCTTAGCCAGTAAAATGATCTGTGTAGCATCCATACGGATCAATTCTTTGCTAAATACTCTTTGAGAATGTATTTAGGACAAGGTTAAATGTACACTGACCAAAAAAATTTTTTCAACTAAGCAAATAGACTTACTTGAAGTTACTTTTTTACTAAAGTAAATATTTATTCTATTTAAAGAGAAATATCAAGTTTCAAGTAAATCTGTGTATTATATTAAGTAAATTAATTTAAATCATTACATTTTCTACATTCAAGTAAAGTTTTCATGAGATACAGAATTAGGTGGAGAATAGAGAATGAGATAGAGATTATTTATTAAATGAAATCATTGCTTTTGTCAAATAAGAAATCCAATTTTCTTCGCTGTAAAACTTATATCTTAGTAAACGTTTTATAGAATTAAAGTAAAATTTATTTTAATTTAAAATTATCTACCGTTTGATATTTAATAAATATTTCAATTAAAGAAATGCACGTTTCAATTTGTTTATTTTTTAATTTAAACTACTAAGCTATTAGGAGCCACCTAACGAATAATTTTCTTGAGTAAAGTAATATGTTTTTGGATTAAGATATGTTTTTATCAGTGTAAAAATTGACCATAAACAGACCTTGGTGTGCACTTCAATGCGCCACTGGTGCCAGCAACCGAACTCGCTATACGTCTTCGATTTAAACTCTGTGGCTTCGCAATGCTATCGCTGTTACCGAAGAAAACGCGAGGCTGCAGACGAAACGGGGGAGGCCGAGCCATTAACTGCAATTTATCTAGGATTTACGGGGCGCGTCAATAAGAAGCAGGTGACGCCGCGCGAATACCTTTTATCTGTTAAGGTGAAGCCAGGTGGCTCGCCAGGATTGTTATCGTTGGGCCCCGCCGTTGCGTATCCCCCTTCACCCTCCCCCTGCCACTTACACGGTTTAAACAGTTTAGCCGACGCGATTAACGCTAACGCGTCCGCTAGAATTGATCTTTTGTTCAGTAATACGTAAAACGAGCGATGAAATACGGGCGATAGACAACTTGGACGAATTACCATAATCCACCGACCTTTCACGGCGAAACGAACAGCGGCCGCTCTATCGCCGCGCATGTGACGCGCCGCCACCCCACATTCCCACACTTACGTTTTAATAACGAAGGAGAGAGAGGAAAAAAACACAGGTGGGTCCCGCCGCGCAAGTGTCGCACCGGCCCGCGTATCGTTAATTTCGCTTAGCCTTTAATTGGGCGTAATTATAAACGGGTGGGGGGGGGGTAGAGAACCAGCCTTAAAGATAATTTTTCAGCGCGCATTGCAGTTTTGCAAAAAAAGTATATGTCGCAGATAAAATCAAACTTGAATGAATATGTAGCGACAATCCTAACAGATGGCAATTGGAATAACACCTGTTTTCGGGAAGGGATTGAGCCGCAAACCTTGCCGGCTTCTCGATGTCGTATAGCGCTATGGAAATTGTATGAAAATTACGGGAGAGACGCACGAGTCTGCAGTGCCTATGTCGCGAACTTCCGAAGGCTCGATAAGAGATTACAACCGCGTCGCTTTACGCGCGAAACTGTAATGCTATACACTAAAGCAATGGTGCCGCGGAAAGAAAAATGTTATAGCTACCGTAGCTAAAAGCTGCAGGTGGCTAAACTAAATTACAGTTGTAAAGTATGGACAGTTAATAGTTAGTTGTGACAGCTAAATATCTTGCTACTGTGCCTATTGTATTAGGTGCGGCAGCAAACTGTTTGCTGTGCTTTAGAAATTTACAGTTGCGGCAGTAACATAGTTTTAGCAACCTATGACTAGCTACGGTAACGAAAATATTCTCTTCAGTGCGCTGGTCCCTCGTGTTTTTATGGTTCAGAAGAT